TAAATTATATTATAATAAATGATATATAGTTTTAAGAAATAATGTTTCGTAAATATTATTTTTGGATAAATGATTTTTAGAAGAAAATGTGGCTAAAATGTTCTGATTCGCTTTTGTAAATTCTAAGATATAGCGAAATAAACTAAAAGAGAAATAAATTTTTTAGAGTGTATTCTGTCCCTTGTTTCAATTTTGACAATCAAAAATCCGAATCAATGAAAGAAAAGTGAAGACCAGCATATGACTATTCAGAAAAATTACATTTGAAGATTATCGAGAGGCAAGAACGTTTTATGTCCTTTTTCCACAAAAAAATAAATAAATTAAAATAAAAAAGAAATAAAACAAATTGACGATTGGACCTCTATTGACGATTTGTTTCATTTTAAGCATGATTAAGTTTTTACAAATCAATAACATGGAAAATCGACTCTACCCTAGAGTTGTTACACAGCGAAGATGGGCCATGCTAGGGAAAAACGATTCATGTCTACGCATAGACAAGAAAAAATAAAAGTATAGTGAAGAAGACGACGGTAATACTAGTGGGAAAGCATTGACAGGGAAGGGAATTTCGAGGTAAATACGATTCTTGTCCGAGCCGATTTTTAAAATTTTATTTTTTATTTAACATCAAAAATTATGACTTTTGTTTTGAATTGAATGCTTATAACATTTCTGTATATTTTTATTTTTGCTACTTCAATTGAATACTTGCTCCTGAAAATTTTCGAACCTAGAAATTCGGTTGTCTTCAAAACCAGCTTTCATACATAAACCACTTTTCCCTCTTAATTTTAATTTTGTTCGATTTCGTTGTTTAAAATATCATCTGCACATAACTAATTAGTATATTGAAGACTGCTATCATAATTAAAAATCATTAAGATTGTGTAATACGTAAAAAATCCAATCACTAGACCTAAACTTATTACTATACTCTATTTTTTACTCACTAACTTTTTTCCACTTTCTTTTTTATTGACATTCTGATGAATTCACTAAAATGTCTGTTACCATCATACTCTCCAAAAGTATCAAAGAGTACATTAAAATATTTGTGATAAAACCTTACTGAATATCAGTTACGGATATCATTACATACTTTTATATTTTTATTTCTCTAGGAGGAAAGACACTGACTGGATGTTTGTTTTTCAAACACTTTTCAAGTTCTTTGCCTGCATATTTATTGCCTACTGTGCATTTATGAGGTTTATAGTAGATATATTCCAATATACGGCCGTGCGTCAATTCAGTTTGGCAGAATGTGCCTTGATTTTTGCAGGAGCAACTTTTGTTGGAGCCACAATGATGTTTTTAGTGTTTTATTGCGTACTCCACAGTTGGCTGAACTTCTTTGCAGAAATGATCAAATTTGGAGACAGAGAATTTTATCAAGTAAGGATTTGTTTACATTATTCGGTAACTTTTAAGTTGGCTAATTTTTTTTTTTTTTTTACTTCCTAAAATTGTATAATGAAGGAGCCATCGAAAGAGAGCTTTAATAAAATTTTTAAAGTTTATGTTCTTGTTTTTCAGGATTGGTGGAACAGCACTTCCTTCTCTCAGTATTACAGAAAATGGAACTTAGTCGTACATGACTGGTTATACAATTATATTTACGTAGAAACTCAAAAAGTATGTTATGAGATATTTTATCATTTACTGCACATTGTAAAAATACAAAATAAATAAATAAAATTTAAAAAAAATGCAAGCTACTAGCTATAGTAAAATCAAATTATTCCATTTCAGTTGGGATTTAATAGAACTTTTTCAATGATTACTGTGTTCCTCGTGTCAGCTTTAGTTCATGAGTATATCATTGGCTTAGCATTGGGATTTTTCTATCCTGTCCTGATGGTTATTTATTCGAC